TTTATATCCCATCAGCGTCGCCTTCCCCCGTCGACAAGACTTGGTCCAATTCCCCCAAGGAAATTGTAGAATCCACCTATTACGAGATCGCCACGGACCGTTTCGCGTTCTCTCTCCTCTCTCTCTTTCTTAGATTCCTCGAGATTACAAGTTCACAATATTAATCCCTTTACGATTTAATCGAATGACTTGTCTCGGATTCGAGAATTCTTGAAAAAATTCTTGCGAATAGAATTATGATAAAGTGGCAATTAAAATATTTAAAATTGTCTATATATCTTGAAATGGTATTTTGGATAAATGTAAGCTTTCAAAATTGTAAAAATTCTAGACATCTATGATGTCTTATCTTGAAGTTGTGAATCAATTTTGACAGAAAGGCTTATTTGAAAGGATTAAAGTATTTCGAATATTTGGATTACAAATTGGATTAAAACAAATTGGAATAAATCGTTTTTTAAATTTTACATGATTTTACATTCCATTCCAGCTGTGAGGAAAAGTTATGGATATTTCACCTCTTTCAAAATATCTCTTTTTTTTCCTCTGGCTGAATAATTTTTTCAAAAGAAAAACTCTCGTTTCGTGTAAAATTCACTTAATTCAGCTAGACTTCTTTCTTTTGATAAAAAATATATCCGTATATATTCATCTTATTTTACTTTATTTAATCACGAGTTGTGAAACTAAATTCTAGCATCTGATGGAAATTGAACAAAGTGGAATAATTTAAAAATATCGAGATCTAAAATCTAAAATCATCTACATACATCTACGTACATCTGAAAATCAAAAAAAAATTTTCCTTTCAAAAATCGCAGCCTAACATTTTGCCTAACGCGTCGTAATTGTCCGCAATCAACTCAAGGACGATGTTCCAGGGCTCGCCACTACGATTACTTTCACACGCCACAGAATTTGCGACAGTCGACGCAAATTCAGCGCCCTCTGTAATTTCGTTTCCCTTCCTGCGCGTAGCGCGCGTACCACAGGCCTGTTGGCTTTTCACTAAAATTTCGAAATTCTAGTTTGGATCCTAGGATGGAAAATGGGAGTTCGAAGTAAGTTGGTCAAGTAAGTAAGTTTCCTCGAGCAATTCTCCTGTCATCTTCCGCTCGGTATCGAGCTCCTGTTAAAATCCGACGTGGATCGAATGAAACGAGAATCTTCTTTGAAAGCGATAGATGATCCGGTTTCACGAACATAGGCGGTGAGTGGTCACGTCGATTAACGAGTGATAGAGATAGCGCAACAAAAGCAAGAGTGGAAAAGAGTGAAATTATCGAGTAAAAATATTTTAACTTCTGGAAATTAGAAAAAAGTTCGACTAAAAATTATAATTTGTAAGAAAGCATGATTTATTATTTTATTATTATTTTATTAAGTTTATAGACTTATCGATTGAAAAAAATGGAAGTGTAACAAATTGCGGAGTAAAATTATAAGCAATCGAATGGAAATATTTTAGTTTCTCGAAATTAAGGAAAACTTGATGTTTAAAAATTGTAATTTCAATATATATTTTTTTCGTTTCTTTTGCAAAAATTCAACGCGATTTACTATTATTATATTAGTTATTAGAGGTTAACCGGAAATGGAGATGCAATTTGCATTGCAATTGTTACAAATTATAAGCCATCGAATGAAAATATTCAACAAAATTACAATTTCAATGTATTTTCCTTTCTGTAAAAATCTCATGCAGTTATTTTATCGCGTTAGATTAGGTTGGTCTATTTTCATTTAGTCGATCTCTTTTCACTTTCTTTCTCTTAAATCAATTTATACTTGATATATCCGCATTTATCTGAATTTATATTATTTATATTTATATTTATATTAGAACTCAGATTATCATCGAAAAATAAACAATAATTTCCCGTTCAATCAAACAAATTTTACCACAATTAAAAAAAAAACCATAAAATTTTTATCATTTTGTAATTTTGTACGTGTCAATATCTTGATCAAAAAAAAAAAAAAATCTTTTTCGTACTCATAAATAAATAAGAGACAAAGAAAAAAGTAAGAAGGGGACAACGAAATCGGATCTTTTTTGAACGTCGTAAACGGAGCAAGACGGATTAAATCGGAAAGATCACGATACCAGTACGTTCCCTAAAAATATCCTCGTTAAATATTGATCGAACGACTCCCTAGTCGCTCGTTCTTGGGTCGAAATTATCGCTACTAGCTATATATAAATGATTCTCTCGAGAGGATCGGAGGGAAAGCGGTGGGTGCAATTACGACAAATGTTGTTTTCATGTACCCAAACCGTGGTTGGTTGAAACGTTGCTTAATGCGTTTTTATAAGGAGCGGTGGTTGGGCCGATCCGTATTATCTCATAACGATCACCGTGCTCTCGCGGATTACGCTCCCTTCATCGTTCCGTGAAATCACATTGACATTTTTTGTGCTCTCATCGTCCTCGTCATTCGCATCGGGCAAAAGTACGTTTCTTCCATTTTCTTTTTTTCGCATCATAGATATAGTTAATGCTCGCGATTCGTCAACGACCGCTCGAGTAAAAAAGCACTCGTCCTACCCGTGGATAATCCATCCTACGCCGTCACCCGTCCATTCTCGTCCCTTGTACGATTATGACGAGGGGGAATCTCTTTCTCCCCCTAACGTAACGAGAAGCGTTTTTAAGATTTATTCGCCTGGATATTATGTCGCTGTGTGATCATCTTTTTTAATGAAAAATTATGGCGAATTTCGCTTTTATAAAAATTTTCAACACTTAAATTCGACGAATTGACATTTTACGAAGTGCTCCTTAAAATGTTTACTTTGATTTAAGCGTATTATGTATAGAAAGTGTAGTTTTTAATTATTCATCGTACTCGTTTATAACTATATAATATGCTTTATATTTTAGCGATTGATATACATCTCATACTTAATTACATTTAAAAAAAAAAAAAGAATCGAAATTTAATCTGTTCCAATGTCAATATCCCGACGATAAAAATTCCTTCCACGTTCACTCTGGGACAAAAGTAAATGCGGGTTTGGTTCCATTTAAACGGAACTATTTCAAACCTCTTCTTCCATTACTTTTCGAATACAATGCGCTCGAACGGGAGCGAAACTGTGGCGAATAGATACGCGAATGCGGCAACACTGCAACTACCGGATTAAGTTCTTCGCCACGGCTATCTTAATCGAACATAAATTATTTTTACACCTTTCTCGATTGTTTCGAACCACCACCGTATTCCCTCCAGTTCCTTACTATTTCTACTTGGAATTCTAATCGCGGGAAAAAGAGAATCATTCCGTTCGCAATTTCGAGGAATGTTGTATTGTATGGAGGAAAGTTCCAGCGTATTCGACTTCGCCGAGTTAGTGGATTCGAGATTTTTACGAGCACGATTGAACCGTGCTAAACGCGGCGAGTGTCGAGAAATGGCGACTGTGCAACGTGCGAGTTTACGTGCGCGACAAACGAAATTTCACGACAATGATGTTATAAATTTTTACAATCATTTACATTTTTTACATTTACATTTTTTAATCGTGAAACATCACAGATTATAGCGAGCATTTTCCTCTAAATTTTTATTTAATATAAATGTGTTATGCAAATTTATTCCGTTAATTATCGATAAACATAGATTGAATTTATCGAAAATATCGGCGGTTTCCTCATATCAATATGTTCTGTTAATTGAAGAAACATAACTTGAATATCAATGATAAATACCTGTGTGTAATAATATTATAAATATATTTGTGTTTCGGTTTACGTACAAGATACACACACATATACGTAATCGTTAAAATCCAATTAATAAAAGACTTTTCGCATTATTTCAACAAAGGTTGATGGATATAATATAAATATAAAAAGATAGAAATTTGTTGTTGGGATATCTCAGTTTTAAAGAAATAATCAATGGAAACGAAAACATCGCGTATATCCTAATTGTCATTTTTTGTTTTTGTCGGAAAAAATGTTTCCTCGATACGATTTTTGAAAATGTTTGATATATAAATCGACATATTTTTTCCACGCGAAATTGCTTCAATGTGTTTTTTTTTTTCGCGGTTTTAAAAAGCTTCAGCGTCGTTTAATATTTACGACGTTCACCAATCTACTTTCATCGAAAATCGAATTGTGGTCTGCCACTACAAAAATATTTAAACCTTTCTTGAAGAATCTTAATTAAGAAGTTTACATTATACTTATATTATATTATATATATAGTATATATATATTACTTATATTAATCTTATATTATAATCCCGTGATAAAATAACACAAGTTTCGAGTTGTAATCACGTATTAATTTTCATAGAAATATTCGTTAAACCTCGTACGTATCGATAAATTTATAGCGGCGCAAAATTTCTAGATGAAGAGATAAATTTCATTGCACGCAACATACATCGAACATTCGATATTCGTTAGAGCAGAGGGAATTATATACTGATTGTTTTGTGAGGAAACTGAACAGAAAGTTGGAAAAAAAGTTTCTTTTGTTACACTCTTCGCTTTGCTTCTTTTCGACAGAAATGATGATCCGCGATATTCGTTCAAATGGATTGAATATTTGAAACCTACGTTTTCAATTGGGAATACGATATCTGTGAATATTTGCATTAGTTTCGAAATTCAGAAACAGAATTCGCTGTAATTAACACAATTACAAAAAAGTTAAGAGTTTATAATATTTTTCGTTCCGAAAACATAAAAAATAAAAATTAGAAGATCGATCGTCTTGCGCGAAATAAAACGAAGCCTCGATTAATTTAAAATAAACGTTGAAAATACGAAATCTATCTCTTTTAATTTCGAAATTCGTTTATTTTTTCAAAGTCGTTTCTCCTTTTCGAGAACTATGTTTGCGTAAAAATTGATAAAATAATGAAGGTTTTGCTACGCCAGGACACGATCAATCGCGTTTCGAAATGGCGGTGTTTGATTTTTTTTTGCTAATGGAAAAGAAGTAGAGAGAAATATAATTGGATTTGTTGTTTTTTTGCTCACCTTGAAACTCCTTTCTGGCCGCGCTCACGGAAGTTACGATGTTGGCTACGTGTCCGAGCACCGTGGCGAATAACAGCAGGCCGAACAGTAGCTGAGCTATTACAAACAAATACTCGCCTTTGCTTCTTGGTCTGGAAAACATAAAATGGTCGAACATAAGTTGTACGTTCTCCCATAGGTTGCAATACTGGTAAATATTCGCAGAGATAATTTTTTTAATTTCACGTCGCACGAATAACGTATACTGGAGAAAATTCATTTTCAAATGTATAAAAAATAATTGTTTCAATATAATGTAACGGATTAAACAAAATACGCATATACAGGCAAAGAATTAATATGGATAATTGATCGGTCGTATTTCAACAGTCGAGAAGCATTTAAATTTCAATTTTGTAACGGATATAACATCTCGAAACATCTGTTTTAATTTAAATCATTATGAATTATCGATAAATTTTTTTGTTCTTTTTTTTTTTTGTAAATTAAATTTAAAGTTAAATAATTACTTCGTATCAGAAATTCGTGAGATATAACGATTCGTTCAAGAGTCGAATGTACGAAATGTAGGAACTTTCTATTTTTTTTTTACTGTCATATTTAATTTGCAAAATTTTTCAAAATATTAATGATATGTACAATCGAACGTTCGCTATCTGACGCATTCTTTAATCTTTAAGCTATTGATATTTATGGATTCATTTTAACCTATTTTATATTATAATAAATATATATAATAATATTAATAACAATATTCCTAACGTAATCTTTTTATTTCTTTCAATCTTTCAACAGTATGTCTTCAATGTTTTTTTTATTTTATATAATTTTCAGTTTCATCATTTTTATCATTATTTCATTAAATTATCATTATTTAGGATCAAATCTGATCCATATCTACTCGATAATTTATAGGATAGGATTGTTGAGAATATTCCATAGAAATTAAAAATAAAATTTTGTTCATTGAACCTAACCTAAATTATTTGTATTAAATAAAATCTTCGCCAACACCATTTACTTGATCTTCAGAAAAATATTTTTAAAAAAAATCGATCTTTTATATTACATAGATTTCAATTTGCTTCAATTATGATCGTTCTAATCGGAATTTTCGTATTTCTTATAATTAAGTTCCTGTGAAAACTCTTTAGAAAAAGAAGAAGAAGAGGAAGAAAAAGAAGAGAAAAATCGGTAAACGAAATAAAATTACCTGGGAAGATCACCGATGGTGGTGAGGGCCAGCGTGCACCAGTAGTAGCTTTGCAAATATTGTTTTACCACGTCCGCGGTCTCGGAATCGCTGAATACCCAGTTCTTACTTCCGAACCCGTTGTTCTTATAAATAATGTGATAGAGGCACCCGTTCCAGTGAAAGATCACCAATAAATAATGTATCAAGGAGGTGGAGCGGAATAAATTCGGATAGTTGGTGTGTCGCTCAGTTCTGTCCATGAACGCCCAGAACCTGATTTCGTAGAAAAAAGACTTCGTCATATTTTATTGTTATTTTTTTTCCTTTTTTTTTTGTTTCAAATAATCGAATTATATAAATTAAAAAATATCAAGTTGGTAGGAATTACGATCTTTTTTCTTTCTTTCTTTTTTTTTTTTTTTTTTTTTTTTTTGATCATTTTATCGCACGTATTGAAATTAAAAAAAAGAAAAAAGTTCTCTTGCCTGCAAGTTTTTTTTATTATAGAACGTAAACGAATATCGCGCGGTATATCATTGTCATGGTGGAATTTTTTTTTTTTACAGTTTTTTAAAAAAAAGGAGAATTCTCTCTCGTTTCGACATTTCGATAAAAGTGTCGTCGTCGAAACTGAACTCGAAATTCATCGTCGCGATAGTTCATCGCTGCTTTACCACTGGAGTTTACGACTCATTTGCAAATTTCGATTATCAGGAAATAATTAACGAAATGATAGCTATTTATCGTCGATTATTATAGTCTAGAATAATAAATTATAGGGAAAATAAAGATCGATAACTTCCTCTCTGACGAAGATTATTAATAGTTTGGAATAAACGAATGACAAATCAATTCGTTAATATCGTTTGTTCACTCACCGATATATCTTCACGAGCCTAAAACTTCGAAGTATACTGTTGAATCCTATAGATAAGTATAAAAAATCGAGGGGCAGCAGGCACAGGATGTCCATGTAAAACGTAGTGCTGTTCGTATAATGATTTCGTAGCTTGGTCGCGTCTGTTTGCAAGACACCGTCCTCCAAATATCCGGTTCGGATGTGAAACACTATGTCCAGTACGTATAAAAAATCGGAGAAGTAGTCCAAGCAGAACCACACCCACCGCGTTTCGCCTGAACAACGACAAAATAATAATATTTATATATATGAAAAAAAAAATATAAGTATACATTTAATCATTATTTTATCGAACGAAATTTTAACAAAAATTTAAACGAAAATTTCAGCGTTAATATATTCAACGCATCATCAAATATCAAAGAGGATATCCCCGCTGATATATCGAATTTTCGATACGTACGAAAAAAAAAAAAAATTTGGAAAACGANAAAAAAAAAAAAAAAATAAGAATTCAAACGAATTGAACGTGTATGTGAGATAAAAATCGGAATATTTCGAAAAATCTTTTATATTTCTCGAGAAAAAAATTATGACGCGCCGTGTACGTCATTCGTCGTATAATATATATAGGAAATCCGCTATGACGTGTACGTCACGTCACCCGCCGCATTATAGGAAATCCACCATGACGCATACGTTCACATCATCCGTCGTATTATAGGAAATCCTCGTGACGCGTACGTTCACATTCATTCGTTATAGGATAGGAAATCCTTACAATTTAGCAATCGTTACGATAGACGAAATATCCCTTTTTCTAGCAACGATTCATCTCCCTCCAATCATCGAATCGAAAACCGAGACAAAGACTCAAATGGGAATCGCGAGAAAGAAAGACTAACCGTTTATTTCTTGAAAGGCGAACCTATAGATGATGACCCAGAAGTTGTAAAGAAAGGCGAGGGAAACGACCATCGACCAATAGTAACAGAGACGTCCCGCGGGATCGAAGATGAAGGACCAATTAGGGGCACCCGTACGAAAACCTTTCGTCCCCGCTTGACCCGGGTAACCTCTGCTACCGCGTTGCTGCTGTTGCTGTTGCACCGTGTACCTCCTAGGGAAGATAATTAGGGTAAGACATTATGCGAAAAGTTACTAGGACGCTGTTATAGTTCTTTTTTTTTTTTAATATTGAAAGCAGATTAAAGCGATAGGAATATGAATATGTATATGTATATTTTTTGGATTTTGAGAATTTTAAATTCAGAATTTTCGAAATTAAAAATCGGATTTCGATATATGTCTGTAATTATTTTTTGTCGTTTATCGAAAATTGTTACAAGAAAAAAAAAATTTTAATTTTCATTTTACGTCGAAATTTCGATACTCGTCAAATATATCTATCTCTCGAAATAATTCAGCGCGCTACTATTAGTTCGATTATTCCATTTCGAATATTTGCTCCATTCACAAAAAGCGTATTCGATATTTTCCTATTGTGCAAGCATTTGTTATTAGATATTTACTACACTTTAGCCTATATATAATTAGATACACACGTTTATTGACTGAGATTTTCTATATTAGATTCGCTATTTTGTATCGTTTCGTTCTTGCAAATCATAATCGATCGACACCTCCATCAAAATTTTCTATTCAACGAAACTAAACTTTCTATCTCGTTTCCCATAAAATTTTCAACATTTTAAATACATATTTACGAATGAATTTAATATCAAATGCAAAATGTTAAAGCTTTGCGCGTTTAAATTATTAAAACATTACACGTATCCCCATTTTACGATCAATCAATCTTCCCGATATAATAACAATACGATTTCTAACGAGGAGTAATAACGGCACATCTGACGATTCCGCGTTTATCGAAGGAAAATAATGATCGGGCGATACTCACGTCTCGGTGCCGTTGCAGCTGCTATTGCTCAAATGATTGACAGATGCCGGTGTGTGCAAATGTGATTGATCTCGCGAGAGCGTTACGGTATACGGTAGCTTGAATCTGCCCCTCAGCTGGTCCCTTCTCTTCGGTTTTCGACTTAGATCGAACTCGCTTGCCCCTCGGTTTACGTAAGCACCGTGAAGCGAGTCTCGAGATGAACTGAAGTATCTCTGTGGCACCGAGTACACCTATAAACCATGTTTCTCAATTTGTCAACTGTTAATAAACTGACATCGAAACTGAGAACATTTTAAAAACGCGATTAAACGAAGAAATAAGAATAATTGATCGAAAGTGAAAGTATTATTTGAAGGAACGAAATATACTGTTCACTAGTGGAAAGAAGTTTCACGGGACGGCACAGGGGCAAGAGGGGTTCTTCGCTAGGACCGCCCATCCCCGCCCACTTCAAACGGTTTGTTGTTGACTATCCTGACATCACACGCTACATAGCAGTGGAAGAGAATAATTTGAATATTCAAAATTGTAAAAATTATTTTCATTTTCATGAAGTTACGTTAGGATAATTATACAAGACAAATATTTTTGAAACTATCTATAATATGTCTAGCTTATTCGTATATTCGAATATGAAATTACATTTATAAATATCGTTATAAATATAATATAATATAATATAATATAAACTATCGTTATAAATTGTAATTAGCTTATGCATATTGATGAGAAATAAAAAAATTTTTTATATTATATAAATTTTTTATATTTTCTATTTTTATATTATATAGATACGTTAGAATATTTTGGATTCTATGTCTATGCTACCCATCGAAGTTTAGATACAGATCGTTGTTCTGAATTAGTATATGTGACAAATACCACAGTAGAAAGAAAAATGCGTTTCTTTTCACATTAACCAATCAACGTTCGTTCCGTGAGATTTCTTTCCACCAGTGAACAGTAGATTAGATTTATTCAATTAAAAAATACACAAGGACACTTATTTTCAATTTATTCTTTTTTGTTTCAAAAAAATTGTTTCTTTTCTTTCCTATTATCCAGGCAATAAAATAAGAAAATAT